ACCACGCACCGGATGCAACACGGACCGGGACCCAGAGTGCGACCTGCTCCTCACCCCAGTTCCCGGCTCAGAAAAGTGACCCCAGTGCACAGACAGAGTGGCCCCCCACGTAGGGATGGACCCATCCCCATGGTGCATGATCGGTGGGGGCCTGAGCTCAGGGGGTAGGCTGTTAGGCGGTGCGGGGAGGAGGGACTACACACCTGAGGCCGGAGAGGCAGTTCCCCACAAGGACTCTCCGGGACCCTCAAGGTGACAGTGCGGGTGGGGCAGGGGCACCAGCCCAGTCCTCATGTCAAGCGCTGCTCCCTTCTGAGTGGCACAGCTGCAGGTCCTGTCCTGGGGTTTTCTGAGGGTGGGGTGGGGGTGGGGTGGGCAGGGACCCAGGATCCCTGCCAGCTTCATGGGACAGAGCAGCAGGGAGCTGTGCTGTGGCCACTGCAGGAGGAAGTGGAGATGCCAGGGTGTGGCTCCCACCCTGAAGGGGAGACAGCGGGTGCCTGGCGTGGACACTGCACCCCAAATGAAGAGAAAGGAGATGACAGAGGGACCTAAAGGAGATGACAGAGGGGCCCATGACACAGCTGCACAGGGACTCTGGGAGGGGGACAGAGCAGAACCACTAAATACTGTTTAATTCCCCTTCTGCCAGCTGCCTGCAGCACTACTCAGGTGGGGGAGGGCAGGATAGCTCCTCTAGAGTGGCAGATGGGACCACTGAGTCCATAGGGATAGCCATGAGGCCGTGCTCCTCCAGGGGTGGCATTGTGGAGACCTCCAGGTTGGGCTCCATGAGGTGTGACTCCATGTGCACCGTCTGCAGGTCCATGTGGTCTTCCTGAACCCCAAAGTGCCCCATCAATCTGCACAACAGGGTCCAGGTTAGGCTCACTGTGGGTGGTCCTCCACATGGGCTCATGAGGCCTTGGCCACCTGGGGCCACTGGGCCCTCGGGTCAGTGCTCTCGGGGGCAGAGAGTAGGGGCACAGGTCACCCTTGGGGTCCTCCCTTGGGGTCACTCACCTGCTGTCCATGTGTCCGGGGCATGTTTCACTGGAGGGACAAAGGCAGGTGTGACTCTAGGACAATGGGGCTGGACTCCAGGAGCCCAGAAGTGCCCTCCACACCTCTCCCCAGCCCACAGTCTGGGAATGCCATGCCCAGGCCCACTGGGTGGGAGGGGAGGGGGCGGGCAGAGGCCTCTTTCCTGGCAAGACTGAGGGCTCCGGGCAGGCAGCCCATGCTGCCCTTCAGCTCTCACCCACCCATCCCGGTCCTGGGGCTCACGCACCCCTTGGCTCGAATGACACCAACCGCCACGATGACGAGGGCAAAGAAGCAGCTGGCGCTGATGCCAGCCAGCACCACAAGCAAGGCGATGAGGGCCTCACGGCTGAGGCCAAGGCCGCATTCGCAGTAGGTTCCAGCTGCAGAAACAGGACCCATGTGGCCAAGGGGCTGTGGTCACCTTGTGAGTAGAGGACCCCCAGGGCCACCCCCAACCCCGGTGGCCACCAGGAGACAAGGTGCCCAGCCCGCCTGGACAGGGAGGGGTCCTGGCTGGGAGTGGGGTTCAGGGGACAGGAGGCACCTGCAGCGGGGATGAGCAAAAGGGACAAACATATCAGGCCAAGGGGGCTGCCGCCCAGGCAAGAGTCAGGCTGGGGACAGGGGGCCATGTCCAGCCCCAGGCCCACCACACACCTCTGGATGGAACTTGTCAGAAGGTGCTGACCTCACAGTGGGGCTGTGAGGCGGGCAGGGTGGGGGCAGGGCCTTCACTGGCGCTTCACTCGCCCTTGGGCGCTGGGACTCCAGGAGCCCTGGGCAGGCAGCCCTGGGGCGGGGAAGGGAGGGTGGACACCCCTGTGTCCTGGCCAGGTCTGAGGAGAGGCAGTGGGGCGGGGGCTGCCCGGGTTTTGTGGGGCTGGTGCTCCACAGGGAAGGGGACAGGCCAGGTAGTGGACACAGTGGCCTGGAAACGCAGGAAGGTCCACAGCAGGCAGCCCGGGCCTCAGTTTCTTAGGATAAGGGGGAGCCTGAGCTTCAGCTGACCGATGTCACCACTGTGCCCCCAAGGCTGGGACAAGCAGGGGCCGAGGCCGGTCAGGGGGTGGATCTGCGCCTGCTGCCGTCACACTGGCTGTCTCGAGGAGTGTCCCACCCATTCCCCAGCAACGCCCGGGTCTGGAGGGCCTCCCGGGGGATATTCCGATCACCCAGCAGAGGTATGTGGGTTGCTGCTCACAGGCCTTCCCAGAACACCCTGCTCTCCGGGCAGGTGGGTCAGAAATGGCTGCAGGCCGCGTCTGAGGCTCCAGCTTAAATGTCAGAGCCCACGGCCACCTCAGGATCTGCCTGCTGCCCCTCAGGGGGTCCGTCCCACGAGATGTCCTGCAGACCAGGCAAGCACTGCCAAGGGACTCGCCTGCAGGCTGGTGTGGCCGGGGTTAGCCTCAGCCTCCTTCCCGTGGCCCCCCAACCACCCCGGCAACAAGAGGAGGTGCCCCACCCCACGGCTGACCCCACAGGGCTGGGGGGAGGGTACCGCTGGGGCCCCCTCCTGGTGGGGCCCTCAGGGGACCCACCCACCAGCAGCTCCTGACACACCCCTGTGCCTGCTGAGTGACGCTGTGACCCAAGACACACTGGGTTATACCACACTCGTCCCCAGACTAAGTCCACAGGGACAAAGAGCAGGTGTGCCAGTGCCTGGGGCTGGCACTGCCACCTTGCCAGGCCAGTCCAACAGGTTTGTATCCTGGTTAGGATAACAAAGGCACATCCAGCCTGGTGCCAAGTGAGGGCCTGGCCTGGAGGGCATGGAGGGTGTTGGTGTTGGAGCTGCCCGGGCCTCCCCCAGATCTCCCAAACTCAGGAGACAGCGGAAAGCCCTCTGCTTGTGCCCACAGCACAGGAGCGGTTGGTGGGTCAGAACCCTCCAGCTGCTGAGGCCGTGACCTCATTCCCACCCTGTCCTCCTCAGGCCATGGCAGTCAGCGTGTTCCGGAGCAGGAAGGGGACGTCCTGGGGGGCAGTGCCACTCAGGGCCCCGTGGAGTCAGTCCGTGGGGATCGCGGGGTATCGGGCAGCAGGTGCTCCTTCCGCAGGGCCTGTTGCCTGCCAGGACAGTGCCGTCAGGTCAGAGTGGCTCCTGCCTGAGGCTGTGGCGCCCCGTGCAGCTCGGAAGGCCTGCGGCCTGGGCAGGACCCATGCCCCCACTTCCTGGGACCTCAGGACGAGGGTGGGGCCTGGACAGGTGCTGCTGCACTGCCCAGCTGGGCTCACAGGCCCTTCGTTCTGACCATACCTCTGGGGCATGGGGTAAGTAGCCTTCCCGAAGGCACATGTCACTGTAAGCGCCTGACTAGTTGGGGACAGGCAAATGCCCGGCCCCCTCGCCACAGGGCGTGTCCCAGGCAGCCCATACTGCTTGGGGATGCAGGCCGTTCCTGGCTTAGCAGGATACGGCCGGTCTGCGCCGCCTCCAGTGTTTTGATGGAGCGCACACGGCCCAGCAGCAGCCCTGGGCTCAGGCCATGCAGAAGGAGGGTGACCCAAGGGCTCCTTTCAAAGGCCAGATGAGTGTGGTTGGAGCTGGAGGGCAGCCAACCCCTGGTGCTCGCTCCTGCCTGCGTGGTGGGCCTCAGGGACACCCACGTGCCAGAACTCACTCAGGTTTGGGGCCCAAACACAGGTGGGCAGCCAAGGGCTGGGCCTGGCCTCTTCTGCAGTTCCCCTCACTTGCTCCCAAGAGCCATGCCCTGCCAGGCTGAGGCGGAGGCTGGTCTGGAGGGAAAACCTGCATCGTGTGTCCATGAGGGGCCCGGCCACAAAGCCACCAGGACAAGGAAAGAATCAAGAGCCAACCATTTTACTGTGCACTCTGGGAGCTGGGCAGGGGCGTGGGGAGCCGGGCAGGGGCGTAGGGGGGCTCAGCAGGGTGTGCACAGTGCCCGGCTGTCCATCCTGCAGGGCATGGGCAGCTGGAGCGGTCCAGGGAAGGGCCGGCGGTGTGTCAGCCGCAGCTCTTGGGCAGGCGGTAGACGCCTCCGGCATAGACGAGCTGCTGTTCACGCACCTTCTTCTGTAGGAAGCCTTGCAGCTCCTGTAGGTCGATCTCAGCCAGCGCGGGGCCCGTCACCACGAACATGCGCAGCATGCTGTAGATGCGCTCCAGCGACAGGCTCTCCAGGTTGGTCAGCATGGCCTGGATGTACGTCCAGAACAGCTGGAGGGGACAACGGCTGTCAGCCCCACCCCTCCGGCCCGGCCCCGCCCCCGCCCCCAGCCCCATGGGGCGCACCAGCAGCTCCTCCTCCTTCTGGTCGGCCTGGGAGGCCATGCCCGAGTCGCTGTCCTCATCGCTGTCCAGGAGCACCATGCTGTCGCGGTCCTGGGGCCGCTCCTCCTCGACGACGGAGAAGGTGCCAGCAGGCTCCTCGCGCAGCACGCCCTGCTGCAGCCACACCGCCATGCGCCGCCGCAGCAGGGCCACTGGCATCTTTACCACCTTGCTCAGCTCCTCCAGGGTCCAGCTGGCTGTGGGGACAGCCAAGCACGCTGAGCTAAGTCCCGCGGGGAGGCGATAGCAGGGGGTGGCCCATGTCCTGCCCAACCCCGCTGCTTGGGAAGCAGTGCCTGGGCAGCTGGCTCACCTTGGTCCTGGAAATACAGCAAGATCACTGCCTGCACAGGAGTCACGGCCACAGACAGGGTGCGGTCGGCCAGCTCCACATCCATGGTCACCAGGCCCAGGGTGTGCTTCCAGCTGAGGGTCCGCATGGCCTGGGGAGGGCTGGGGTCAGCACAGGCAGCCCAGCGGGCCCAGCTGAACGTGGCTCTGCTGCTGGGCACCAGGTGAGGAAAGGGCTCCCTGACCTGCTCCCCCAGCCCAGCAGGCTGGCGCACAGCAGCAGGGTGAGTACAGGGGGGCTTCGGTCCCCAACCCCCAACCATGGCATCTGACAGTGAGACCCTAACTGAAGAACCTGTTAGGAGCTAACTATCTGAAAGAGTTGTTCATGCCATCACCCCCCAGGCCCTTGGAAAGCAAGCAGACTTGGAAACGGGTGGAATACAGCAGGCCCTGACATAACATGACTGGTGTCCTCAAAACAGGAAAGATTGTGTGAAGACAGACACAGGACTGGAGTGATACAGCCACAGCCAAGAAGTGCCAGGGACAGTCAGCACCGCCGGAAGCTGGGACAGGCACGGAGGACTTGCTCCTAAGCCTTCAGAGGAACCAGGTTCTGCTGACACCGTGATCTCAGACACTGGCCCCCAAAACTGAAACAAGAAATGCCTATTGTTTTAAGCCACCTGATCTGTAGTCCTTAGCTATGGCAGCCACAGGAAATACAGATTTTGGTCCCAGGAAGGGGGTGCTGCTGTAACACCTCCTAAAAATGTGGGGGTGGCTTTGGGGTTGGCTCCAGGCAGGCAGTTTTCAGCTGCATGCTCATGGAAGCCTAACGGCCATGGAGACAGGTGCTAGAAACAGACAGTGAAGGCCATTCCAGTGAGGTCTGCCGACACAGGCACAGGTCCCTGAAGTTGGAGGAAAGGCAATCTTTGTTAGAAGCCGGCAGAGATGGGGCTGAGTTGTGTTCTGCTGGGTGGAAAGCAGAATCTATAAGTGACAAACTTGGATCTTCAGCTGAGATTTCCAAGCAGAGGGTGGGAGGTGCACTGTGTGTGCCCTGGAGACAGAGCCAAGAGTGTGGCCAAAAGGTGAGCCACGTGATGGTGGAGCCAAGCTGCAGTCTCGAGGCCAGGGCACAGATGGCTTGTCTGCGCAGGATGTGAGGGCTGTGCCTTGTGGCTTTGCGCCCTGCATGGCGTCCTGCACGGAAACCAAGGTCTGAGGGTTTTTTACCAGGAGAAACGTTGACAACCTGGACTGAAAGGGGACACGGCCAAATGAGCAGCTTGCAGGTGGGGACACCGCAGCAGGCCAAGATGGCACAGAGCCAATGGCACAGGCCTCAGAGCTGAGGGGTCTCCTCCCAGAGTTTCAGACCTGCCCGGGGCCTACAAGCTTCCTTCTGCTTCTCCCTTTTGGGATGGGGGCATCCGCCCAACACCCTTCCCATGACTATGCTCAAAAGACAATTACTGGGCCGGCCGAGTGGCGCGATGGTTAAGAACTCGCTTGGGATGCCAGAGGGCCCCGGTTCGGATCCCACATTTGAGGGCCAGTGACACTGCCCTCTACAGCTAAGATGCTGAACAACAGCTCAACCTGGAGCTGGGCTGCTGTGAGTCGCCGGCGACGGTGTGGGCTGCAGTCCCTGTGGCAGTGGATTGCCATGGGCTACCGTGTGTGGCCAGCAGCCAGCGTGAGCGGCCAGCAGCCGCAGTGAGCAGCCGTCCAGAAGCCGGCGACTGATCTGCCTCGCCAGAGAAGAGCGCAATGATGGTGCCAACTTGGGCCAGTGAAGCAACGTCCTCCACAACTAGATTGAAGAACAAAACGACAGCAACTTGTCTGTTCCCCTTTCCCCAATTCCCCAGCACTGTTCCCATCCCCCCAATTCCCCAATAAAAATCTTAAAAAAAAAAAAAAAAAAAGACAATTACTGTCTGGTCTCACAGGGTCGCAGCTGAAGGACTTGGGCCCCAGGATGAATCGTACCTGAGATCTCACCCTCACCTGACTAAGATGCTACTTAGATGCTGAGATGTGGGGTTTTCGAGTTGATGTTTAGATGAGACTTTGAACTTGGAGCTGGTGCTGGGTTGGAGGAAAGGCAATCCTCCAACCTAGGGTTAGAAGATTAAGACCTAGGGTTGGAACTGACTGTGTGTTTTGCACGTGGAAAGGACATGAGTTTTGAGGGTCCACAGGGCGGCCTCTTATGGGCTGAATTGGGTCCCCCACAAAAATGTTAAAGTCCTAATCCCCAGGACCTCAGAATGCGTCTTGGAAAGCAGGTCATTACACATATAGTAAGGACGAGGTCAGGCTGGAGTAGAGTGGGTCCTTAATGCAATAGGACTGGTGTCCTCATGAGAGGGAAGTTTGGATGCACAGTCACAGGGAGAAGCCCTGTGATGACAGAAAGAGAGGTTGGAGGGATGCAGCCACAAGCCCAGGATGTCTGGGACAACGAGACGCTGGGAGAGGAAACAAGGACACTCCCCTGGAGCCTTCGGAGGGAGCACGGCCCTGGGACACCTTGATTTTGGACTTCCAGCCGCTAGAACTGAGCCAATAAAATCTGCTGCTCTGAGCCCCATCTGTGGCACTTCGTTACGGCCGCCCCAGGACACTGATACAGCCCCTCGAGGCCAAGCGTGGCTCTGAGTCCTTCCACAACCCCACAGCTGTTAAGGGGGATGCAATGATGAACCCCATTTGCAGAGAAAAAATGGAAGCCCAGGCTGTCTGGCTCCAAGGCCACAACTTCTACAGCCAGCGCTCCACCAGAAGACCGCACGGCGAGCACGCTCCGGGCTGCGGGGCCGCCTGCACATGTCCAGCAGAGCCCATGACTACAGGCCTAGCCCCTCGCCACGGCCCAGGGCCTGCCCATGCCACTCCAGTATCCCGCTGAGCCCAGAAAGTGCACTGGAGTACCGGCCTGAGCCAGACCAGAGGGGTGGGAAGGGCACCCAGCACACAGGTGTCCTCACCAGGAAGAGGTGGGCACTGCACCCTGACCGGGCAACAGCAGGGAGCATGGGGGTGGCCGACAGCCCCACAGGAGCCACGTGGGCTGCACACTGAGCTGTGTGACACTGCCCCTGAGCACGGCGCCCCTGGGCCTCCCCACTCCAGGGCCCCCACTCTCACCTATTTCTGGGAGGGAGGCCCCTGCAGACTGGCTGGCCTACCCGAGCCCTCGCCCCTCAGGAGCTAAGTTCCTGGCCTGTGATAGCAACGCATGTGGGCCCAGCAAACCAGGAGGAGCCACCACCCCTCCCAGTGCCTGGCCCTGCTCGGCCCCCACCCCAGCCCCACCGGCCCCTCCCAGAGCTCTGTCCTGAGGCTTCTGGGGCTTGGGGTCTGCACCCTGGGTCTGCTCCGCTTGGGCACTTAGTATCCCCTGACAGCAAGTGCTTGCTGGGCTGTACGCTGTGGACTCGGGCCCCACACCCACTTGTCAGCCTCAGAACCCATTTCTCTACCAGTCCCCAGAAACCTGGGACAGGTGTCCTAACTCCTTCCACTCTCCCGCCAAGTTTCTGCTGAACCGTCCGTCACCTGCAAGGAAGGGACTCCTGCACACCCCTGGCTCCACCCGCCCACACCTGCCACCTGAACTGCCTGCCCCACCACTCCACTGGCTGGCTAACCTCA